GGGCATGGCTGGGGGTGGGACACTTCACCCTCCCCTTGCTCCCACAGAGAAGTTTAACACCTACGTGACACTGAAGGTGCAGAATGTCAAGAGCACAACCATTGCGGTGCGGGGCAACCTGCCCTCCTGGGAACAGGACTTCATGTTGTGAGTGTCTGGGAGCGACCCTGGGGTCCCCCACACCTTCTGCTCCCCCCTACTACTCCATCAGGGAGAGGTCCCCCACTGCTGGTCCTGCGTCTGACCTCAGCCCTGGGGGGCTCACCTGAGTCCTGGGGCCAAGGGGCCAGGCAGAGGCTGGGGTGGCCCTGTGGGGTTGCAAGGAGGGTGGGGTGGTGACCTGACACCTCTCCCTGCTTCCCAGTGAGATCAACCGGCTCGACCTGGGCCTGATGGTGGAGGTGTGGAACAAGGGGCTCATCTGGGACACCATGGTGGGGACAGTGTGGATCCCCCTCCGGACCATCCGGCAGTCCAATGAGGTAGGGAGCCAGGCACGTCTGTCCTCCTGCTGGACCCTAAGGGACAAGTAGCTCCCCCTTGCTGCTGTCCTTCAAGGCGGGCAGAGCCTTCCCCATCCTTGCTTGGAGAGGCCCTTACTTGGGGCCAGACCCTGTACAGCTGGGGAAGGGGGGTTTCTGGCAGCTGTCTTCATCCCCATCTCCACCCCACAGGAGGGCCCTGGGGAATGGCTCACACTCGACTCCCAGGTTATCATGACTGACAACGAGATTTCAGGCACCAAGGACCCCACTTTCCACCGTATCCTCCTTGACACCCGCTTTGAGCTGCCACTGGGTGGGTACCATCCCCAGGCACCCCAGGACCAGGGTGTATTGTCCCAACCCCAGGATGCTTATGTGTCTTGGAGTTGGAGCTGGTGGTCTGATCCTGTAGCCCCAAAAGCTGGGGAGCTGTTCTGGGGGCATTTCTGTGCACTAAATCAGGGTCTTTGCCCTTGCAGATATCCCTGAGGAGGAGGCCAGGTACTGGGCCAAGAAGCTGGAGCAGCTCAATGCCATGCGGGACCAGGATGATGTAAGTTGGTGCAGTCAGGCCAGGGGTGAGAGCTGGGCAGGGTGTAGCAGTGCTGCATGCAGGCAGCCCTCACTGGTCTGTCTCTCCCCAGTATGCCTTCCAAGAGGAGCAGGAAAAACCTCTGCCCGTTCACAGTTCCCAGTGCTGTAAGTTCTGCCCTGTCCCTGCCCTGCATCCGGCGATGCGCAGAAGCGGGTTCCATGCTTGTCTTAGGGTGTTGGACCTCAACCCAAGTGGGTCTCAACCTCGCTCCACACCCTGTCCCTGTCCCCATTCCCATCCTCCTACTGTCAGTGTTTCTTTGCTGTCTCCCTGCCCCAGAGCATGTGAGCCCTCCCATGGGGCTGAGCCATAGGGGAGAGGGGTGTGGGGGAGGATGGCAATAGGGCTGGTAAGGACGGTCCCCCTGGAGCCTGGGTGAGGGGCAGTGAGGCTGGCAGAGGGGTCTGTGGGATTTGGAGTGGCAGCTCAGTGTGGCCCAACCCATGCCTCAGTTCCCCTTCTGTAAGCATGCTGGGGCCATGCACAGCCTGGCAGCATCCCAAGCACAGCTCAATGTCTCTGTGCCCACCCCAGCCCCTGTCCCCTGCGCAGTTCAGTGCCACCATGCCTAGCCATAGTGCTGTCCCCAGCCTGGGTCAGTGTCACTGTGCCCAGTCCCTGCACTGTCCCCAGCCTGGTGTGGTGTTACCGTGCCCAGGCCTGGGCGCTGTTCCCAGTGCACTTCAGTGCCACTGTGCCCACCTCTAGGCCCCATGCCGTCTCGGTACAGCATTGCCCAGCGCCAGTCCCTGACCCCAGCACAGCTCAGTGCCAGTGTGCCCATCACACGGCACTGTCCCCAACACATCGCGGGGCACTTTCCCCAGGCCAGCTCAGTGCCACCGTGCCTGGGAGATGCTGGTTCCTCCCAGCCAGTTCCCGCTGCCCTGGAGCTGCCTCCATCTTATTGTGTCTGGCCCTTTTTTTTGTAGGCAACTGGAATTATTTTGGCTGGGGAGAACAGCAGAGTAAGTATCCTGTCCCCTCCTTTCCTTCGAGCCTGGTGGTCCCCAGCGCATCCCCCTTTGCCATGCTGTAGCCTGGTCCGGGGCTCAGGGCACCTGGAGCTTGGATCCAGCCTGTGGCCTCACACTGTGGCTCTGTACTGGGTGGGGATGGAGGCACCGAGCGCCCTGTCCTGGGCAGGGCTGTCCCAACAGCCTATGGGGACATAGCATGGTGAGGCTTGGTGCCTTGGTGACAATGAGCAGCTCAGGCTTTGCCTCTGTGACAGAACATCGGTGGGACAGAGGGAGAGTCCCCACACCCTGTCCTCATTCCCCCTTCTGTATATCCCATTTCCTCCCTCCACCCACCACTCATCCCCCAAAACCCTTTTCTGCAGAGGGGAAACACATGCAGCTTGGCCCTAACCCTTTCCTGGGTCTGTCTTCCCAGCATAGACCCACAGCGGTGGCAGCAGCATGGCTGTGCTGGGCACGGGGCAGTTTTGGGGCATCCCTGGCTGTGGCAGCTGTGAGGCTGTCCCCTGTCCAACTCACTATGGCCCCTTGCAGACGATGACCCCGACAGCATGGTGGATGACCGAGACAGCGATTACCGCAGCGAGACCAGCAACAGCATCCCGCCACCGTACTACACCACCTCCCAGCCCAATGCCTCTGTCCACCAGTACCCCATGAGGCACCAGCAGCAGGGCTCCCATGACTCCTACACTGACTCCATGCAGAGCTACGAGATGGACTACTCAGACCAGCGTCCCATCAGGTAGCATTGGCGCAGCCAGTTCCCCCTGGACCGGCTTTCTCAATCTCCCCCATAGGTGACAGGGGCCAGCAGGTTCTGGGGTGACACCAGGGATGGTGCTTCCAGGGCAGTGGGTGACAGGGAAGGATGCTGAGGCAAGGAAGAGGGGGATGTGCAGGCCCCAAGCCTCTCCTCACTGTAAAGTTTTCAAGCTCTTTTGGGTCACCGCCCTCCTCTTTCTTTGCTGGGCTTTGGGACCCCCAAGCCCCAGCTGTCCTTGCTGGGAGCTGAGCTAGTGGCCTGGCTGGGGATGCAGGCTGTAGGCAGAGCTACAGGCAGGGATGCCTGCCTGGTGCTTTGTCCCCATGGTTGCAGCATGGCCCGGTTCCTCTCCAGCATCCATCCCAAGATGCCAGCCCTGCCGGCATCCCCACAGTGGCTGGGGGGGGCCGGGAGTGGCCGTGGCGCGGTGCCCGGAACCTTGCTGATCATCTTCCTCTCCTCCCTGGCAGACGCTATGGTAGCATAGACTCTGCCGCAAACGGACGCAGCGACGCTGAGTCCGCTTCCGAGTCGAGCAGGCGGACCAGCCGCCAGCCTTCCCTTGAGAGCAGGCGGTCCCTAGACCTATCGGATAGGTGGGTCGCTACCTTGTTGTGTGCCGTGTGCCGTCGCAGAGTGCTGTGGTCAGTCCTTGCAGCCGTGGTGAGGCCAACACCAGTCCCGGCAAGGGTGGCCTTGTGCTTCCATGGGGTGCCCCCTCCCTGCCCTGGACTGCCTTGCAGAGGAGCAGTGTTGGGATGCTCCAGGTGCCTCTTGGCCCTGTGGGGTCCCTTCTTGCTGCTGCACCCCAGTTCATGAGGGCGATGTTGCAGCATCCTGATCGTGCTCACCAGCACAGTGACCGCTGGCAGCACTGCTGCCTGTTCCCCGTCATGCCAGCAGGGATGGGATTTGGGACCTCAGGGACTCAAGTGCCACCCTCCATTTCTGGTAATCTCCCAAGGAGCACCTGGCTAGGCAAAAGCCTCGCGCAGTGAATTGGGACCCACACGATGTGCCAAGGGCCCCTCTCCAACTCTGGCCAGGATCAGGCTGGGGAGGTGAGGGGTTTCCAGACATGAGACCTGTGTCTTACACCCCTGTACCCCAAGTCCCCCTTTCTCAAGGTACCTGGATGATGCCAGTACCCCTTCCTGCTGGGACCAGCATAGGCATCCCCCAGCACCCTCCTTCCTGCTGTGTCCCCTGGCTCCCCACTGCCTGGCTCAGCCACTCTGGGCCCAGGTCTCTGTCCATCCTGTCCCCTTTCGCTGTGCCCACTCCTGAGCCCTGGCTGCCAGTGCTGGAGACGTGGTGTCGGCCTCTTCCTAGGCATGTCCCTGTCCTGTCTGCATGTTTGCTTATGTGGGCCTCACCCCATGGACCCTTGTGTCCCCCCTGTTCCCAGCATCCTCCGGGAATGCAGAGAGTCCCTCTGTGCCGCTACTCCCCCAGGTGCAGGCAGCTGTGAAAGGGGGATGCTGGAAGGGCCGGGGGCCAGTGGGGCAGTTGGGGTGGTGGGAAGGGGTCTGGCCTGGCAGGAAGAGTGGAGAGGGGACCTCTGGGTAGGGGTGATGTGGTTAGGGGGAGTGGTGGGATTGAGGGGGTGTCCTTGGAGAGGGGGTGCCTGGGAGGTCTACAGGGAGCACTGGGATGTCAGAGTAGAGGTTGGGTGACAGATCTGTGGGCTGAGGGCAGAATGAGGTGTCTGGGAGCAGCAGGAGGCAGGATCTGCCTGGGGGTCCGGCTTGGCAGCGCTCTGCCACCACTC